TGAGTTAAGTGTGTCAAGCTTTCAATGGAAGGTATCTCAGTTTGACATCTCTCTGCCTTCTGCTATTCAACATCTACTCTGTGCAAGCACTCTGAGGAATGGAAAGAAGACTAAGAGGCAGCATAAGTAAATGGCACATTAAGTGTTTTAGCTCCATAGGAACATTATTTTAGCTTCAGTAAACACAATCAAACGTTACTAAGTTCACTGATCTATTGCCAAAAAACTAGCAACATCACTTTTGTGTTGATCTTTCTTAATATGGTTAAAAAGAAAACAGAAAAACCGTACTTGTTGCCTATAACGTTGGCTGTGTGAAGGCTTCGTGGAAGTGGCACTGCCCCTTTAGTCTCTGGTTTGGACCAGGACATGGTTTCTGAAAGTAAAAAATAAATATATTAGCAACCTGATCTAGTAACAGCAAGTGACCTTACGTTACAGTTAAACAAGACAAGACTATAAAATAAAACAAAAATGTTTCCAGATAGTTATTTAAATTCCATCTTAGACAAACATTTCTAGCTGACCTAAGTTGCCAATCACATAAATTTATTTACATTTGAATGTCAATATTTATAATGAAGGTATCTTCAGGGTGCCATCAATTATTAATTGCAATCAGTGATGATGATGATGATGATGATGATGACGAAGATAGTCAAAAGTAAGAGACACACCTACCCTGTAATCATGCTTTCCTAATATCCCAGAAACAGTTACCCATCAGTTTTTCACTGACCAGCATAGAGCATTACTAATGTTGTTATTACTTATAAGTAGGGTAACCATATAATTTATCATTCCCAACTAGGACACTTTTGAGAGTGAAAGGGGGTATTCTTGTTAATTACGTGAGACAACAGGCATAAATGAGGACCATCTCAGCAAAACAAGACATATATATGTACCCACCCTATAGGGAGTTACCATCATCAATCTAACATTAGTTTGTTCAACCTAACTGATCAGCAACCACTCATATCATACTTTAGCTGCCTGAGATTATACAACTGCTAGTGATAAAGTGAGGAGCTCTGGTAGCGTAGTGCCTAAGGCACTTGACTGCTAACCAGAAGGCTGG